GTAAGCAAAAATACAGGTCAGAATAATGGGTTTTCTAAATATGTTTGTTGAAGTAAAAGTTATAACACTAATATTGTTCTAAATGTATGTAAATTAAATATTTAAGGCAATTATAAATGTGAGAAGGTAAAGACACACAAAGGAAGTAGTTTCCATGTCCAAACTAGTAACACAACACCACCTTTAGATTTTGATGTTGTTCATATGTAATATAATGTGTAGAGTAGTCTCTCAAAAAACTATTAGAAGTGATACACTCAAAAGCACTACAAATAAATCAAAGTGGAATTCTCAGTTCACATCATCCATAGTAAAGCAGAAAAAAAGATAGAAACAAAAAACAGTGAACACACAGAAACAATGTCAATGCTTGAAATAAAACCAGCAAAGGCAGATTGGCAGAATAGATCTAAAAACATTACTCAATGATACATAGTTCACTTGAAACTCATTTCAAGTATGACAATGTAGACAAAATGTTAAAAAGATGGAAAAAGACATATCATGCAAACATTAATAAATGAAAGGAGTAACTATATTAGTATTCAATAAAGCAGATCTCAAAAGAAAATTATCAGACAGGCACATTATATAATGAGTAACAATTCACTAAGAACACACAGCAATCTTACATGTGTTTGCTTAAAACTACAAACTGATTACAAAATATGTAAAGCAAAAACTGGAAAGAGACATAGGCAAATCCACTATTTATTCAACAAGTAAATGGCAAATAAGGATATTAAGGAATTCAACAACAACAAAAAATATTTAATTGGTAATTAGCATTCCACCCAACAACAGCATAATACACATTCTTTTCAAGTGTACACAGAGATTATACCAAGATAGACCAAAACTGGTCATAAAACAAACTTAAAAAATTGAAGATTTTAAAACATTACATAGCTCTTGACATACCATATTTCATACATTTGATTCAAGTGGGTTATGAACTTCCATTTTTACCCCATATACAGATTGCAGAATCACATTGGTTACACATCCACGTTTTTACATACTGCCATACTAGTGTCTGTTGTATTCTGTTGCCTTTCCTATCCTCTACTATCACCCCTCCCCTCCCCTCCCATCTTCTCTCTCTACCCCATCTACTGTAATTCATTTCTCTCCTTTGTTTTTTTCCCTTTCCCCTCACTTCCTCTTATATGTAATTTTGTATAACAATGAGGGTCTCCATCCATTTCCCTTCTCTCTCCCTTTCCCTCCCACCACTCATCCCTGTTTAATGTTAATATTCTTCTCATGCTCTTCCTCCCTGCTCTGTTCTTAGTTGCTCTCCTTATATCAAAGAAGACATTTGGCATTTGGTTTTTTAGGGATTGGCTAGCTTCACTTAGCATAATCTGCTCTAATGCCATCCATTTCCCTGCAAATGCCATGATTTTGTCAAGAACTTTTTTTTTTTTAAAAAGATCAAATAAAAAGAAAGGTAATAATAAAAATAAGAGTGAAAATCAAAAACAGAAAAATGACAGAATATCAGTGAAATAACTAGTTCTTTACAAGATAGATAAAATTAACAACCTTCTATCAAGACTGTCAAATAAGGAAAAAACAAATTACTAAGTAGGAATGAAACAAGGAATATCACTAAAGATCAAAAGATAGTTGAAAATAATACAGATACAAATTTAACAATTTACAGAAAATAGATCAACTCCTTAATACACTCTTTCCCTCCCTTCCTCTCTCCCCCACCTCACAACTCACTCAATATGGAATAGAATATTTGAATGCCTTTTAACTATTACAGAAATTGAATTCATAATTTTAAACTCCTAAAAAAAAAAGAATCTCCTGGCCCAGATGGTTTCACAAGAAAATTTTATCAAGTACTTAAAGAAGAATTAATACCAATTTTACAAAATTTTTTTCCAGAAAATAGAAAAGTAGGTCTCTGTTCATTTCATGAAGCTACCCATTGGCCTGATACCAAAACCAAAGACAGTAAAAATAAGGAAAGATATTGAATGAGGTCACTCATAGATGTATATTAGAAAATCTGTAACAAAAAATTAGTAAATAGAATAAAGTGTTAAATTTAAAAAGAATTATACACACCTTGGTAGTGTGATCCACTTCAGGAATTCAAGGATGGTTCAATATTTTTAAAAATCAAGTACACATCTGAAATGCCATTTACTCAGGAAGCTGAGATAAAATGATTGCAAGTTCAAGGCCAGCCTGGGAAACTAAGCAAGATCATGTCTCAAAATAAAATTAAAAGGCCTGGGGATATAGCTCAGTAGTGAAATGCTTGCCTAGCAGACACAAGGGCCTCAGTACCACACACACACACACACGCACACACAAAATCAAGGTAATCTGCCATATTAGCAGGCTAACAATCAAAACCCACATGATCATGTTAATTGGCACAGAAAAAAATTGACAAAATGACAAAAAATCATGATAAAAATTCTCAGAAAAAAATAGGAATAGAGAACTTGTCATAGTCCATTTTCACCATTCTTATCCAACAGTGTACTAGATGTTCTAGCCATTGTAAAAGAAACAAAGCATACAGATCAAAATAAAAGGAATAACATGGTCCCTTTTTAATTATGTTATTCTCTAAAAACAAGTCTCAAGAAGTCTATTGCAAAACAAAACTCCTGGAACTAATAAGTTCTTCTAGGCTTCAGAATATAAGATAAACATACAGAACATATATTTCTATATGTAAGCAATGAACTGTGTACATCAAAATTACAAATATTATACAATTTTCAATATCTCATAAAAATGAAATACATAGTTGAAAATTTACTAAATAAGTGTAAGACTTGTATGTTGAAAACTACACAACATGAATAGGAGAAATCAAAGATCTAAGAGAATGGGGAAAAAACAGCATGTTCCTGGATTGAAAGATTCAATGAATAAAGATGTCAGCTCTTCCCAAATTGATATCCATGTTTTACACAATTCTTTTCAAAATCCCAACAAGACTTTTTCACAAAGGCATTAAAATAGCAAAAACGATTTTGACAAAGGGTAAGTGGGAGGAATCAGTCTGATTTCAAGATCTTTTATATAGCTACAGTAATACAATGTACTATTGGAGGATGAATAGATATATACATCAATAGAACAGGGTAAAGAACCTAGAAATAAACCTATAACTGATTTTATAAAAATGCCAAAATCAGAAGGCTCAGACAGAAGGATCACAAGTTCAAAGACAGCCTCAGCAAAAGCAATGCCCTGAAGCAACTCAGCAAGACCCTGTTTCTAAATAAAATATAAAAAGGGATGGGAATGTGACTCAGTGATTAAGTGCCCCTGGGTTCAATCCCTGGAACCAAAAAAAAAAAAGAAAAGAAAGAAAAAGCAATTCAACGGAGGCAGAAGGTCTTTTCAAAAAACAATATTGAGATAATTGGACTTCATTAGGTCAAAAAGTGAAACTTAAATTCATAGTACAAAGATTAATTCAAAATAGATTATGACCTTAAGTGTACAACATAGGACTATAAACCTTTTAGGAAAAAAATAGAAAATCTTCAGGAACTAAGGTTGAGCAGAGTTCTTAGACTTGACCCCAAAAACATGATTTATAAAATGAAATATCAGTAAATTGGGCTTTATCAAAATGAAATGTTCTGTAAAAGACTATGTTGAAAGTACAAAAAACAGGATATAAAGATATGGCAAACCATATGATCAAAATACTTCTCTCTGGATTAAAGAATTTTCAAAATTTCAAAATTAAAGCATTTTCAAAAGTTTTAAAATAAACTTTTCATTTAGAAAAAGGAAAAAGACATGAATAGACATTTCACCATACAAAATATACAGGTGACACGTAACCACATGAAAAGATGTACAACTAACCAATAAAAATGCAAATTAAATACATAATGACCTAGCACTGCACATCTTTGAAATAAACAAAACAACAGGGCTGAGAATGCTCAGTGTCACAGCACTTGCTTAACATGTATGGGTTCAGTCCCCAGTACCCCTGCACCTGCCCCCGCAAAAAAGCACCACACCAAATGTAGAGAAATTGGATTACTCATATATTGCTGGTGGTAACATAAAATGGGCAACCACTCTGGAAAACAGTTTGGCAGTTTCTTTAAAAATTAAATATATAACTACCATTTTACCCAGCAATTACTCTCCTGGAAATTAACCCCAGTGAAACAAAGGCTTAAATTCACACAAAAACCTGTACACAAATGTTTATGCAGCTTTATTGGTAACAGCCATAAATTGGAAATAATCCACATGTTCTTCAATGATGAATCATTAAGCTGTAGTACATCTGTGCCAAGGACAACTACTCAGTAGTAACAAGGAATAAACTAATGATGTGCAAGGTATCCTGGATGGATAACCAAAGAGAACTACACAAACTAAAGCTAATTCAGAAGGTCAAATACTTTGTGATTTCATTTATATAACATTCTTGAAATAAGACTAGATAATTGGGATGATAGATTAACGGCTGCCAGGAATTAAGGAGGGGATGGGCAAGAAGGGAAGTCAGCACTAAACACAGCAATGTGAGGCCACAGTGGATATTGACCACAACAATGTCAATATCCAGGCTATGGTATTGTACTATGGTTTTGCAAAAAGTTACGTTTAGAAGAAACTGAGTGAAGAGTACGTGGAATCTTTATTATTTCTCCCAAATGCATATTAGTGTACAATTACTCAAAATTTAAAAGTTTAGGAGCTGAGATTATAGCTCAGTGGTAGAGTGCTTACCTACCATGTATAAGGCCCTGGGTTCAATCCCCGGCACTACCAAAACAAATTAGAAAGTTTAAGTAAAATGTAGTTAAAAGTTTGTGGTTAGAAAACCTGAAAGAAATGACATGGCTACCATGAATAATTTACAAGATCTCTCTCTTTTGAAAAAAAATTTCCCTCTTGCAATATGAGGATCTCTACCTTGATTTTGTAGTCTATACAGTGAGTACATGTCCAGCAAAAGTTCACATATTTAATTTCTTTTCTAGATCAAAGCCAGCTACTTGCATAAATATAAAGAAATACAACTCATCTTGGACGCCACCCAGAAACCCTCCTTTTGTAACCCAAAGGAATCTTAGGACAGATGCCTCAGAATGGTTCCAGTCTGTGCCCCAAAGGTCACTTGAAAGTTTGACACCTCTCAAAGGCACCAAGAAGAGGAAAAAACATGTTCTCTGGGCCACAAAGACTGAAGACATGAACCTTCTAAACAGCAAATGGGAGACTGCTCCCTCAAGCTTTGAAGTGGTTGCAAATATAAAAGATAAGAGTCTTCAAGATGAAGAATCCAAATTGCAGAGCTCTAAGCAGATGGTTCCTCATCTCCCCAAAACCAAGGAGGAGCAACCACATCAGAATGACAGACAACTCACCTTCCACCTGAGGTTCCAAAGAGACAATTAATCTCGCTGTTTTCTTGCTCTGAAAACTGGATGAAAGATGACATTGCTGACATAGTAAAAAGAAAACAAGACAAGCCTTCCTTCACTATACCTCCCTCTTTACAGGCATATGCAGATGCTAAACTACAAATTCAAGATATCCCATATTATTTAATGGAAACATCTACCAGATATTTAAAAAAATCTAGAGAAAATATAGAAAATTTAAAAACTCTAAAAATATTTATATTTAATTTTTGTCAGCATGAAAAAACAAAATTCTGAACTTTTGATTTCTTCCAGAATTACTTATGCATACAGCACCAAATAACTAAGAATTCAAGGGAGAAATGACATGTGCTATCACTAATTTTAACCTCCCTATTAGGTACTTTAATGAGCCAGTCAACATCATTTCTTGAATTTATTTCTGTTATGTGATTGGTATGCTTGGAATCACTGATGATATAAAAGACATTTCTCCCCACCAGAAGAATATCATATAATTGTTCACATAAGACATACATGACTTAAAATGATTACAGATAAGTGCATATATTGTATGTTGCTATGTCATAAAGAAAATACCAGGTATTACAAGGTGATAGAGTGGCACAAAATGGCACTGAAATGTATATATTATAGTTTAATAGTCATTTTACTTATCAAAGTTAAGCAAAGATGTAAAATATTAAAAGCACAATTTTTCTTAAAACTGATGAGTACATCCATTCTAGAGCTGTACATCTCTAGCTATTTATTCCTGTGGACACTGTGGAACAAATTCAGCCCCTCACATTCTGTCATTCATAAGGCAGCAAGCACCGGGAGAGATTCCTTTAAGACAATGCAGAGAAACAGATCAAGCAGGTAAGTCAGGATGGATGTAGCAAATGAGAAAAGAGTCGATTAGTCCTGGGTCAACAATGGCATCCCGTATAGGATGAGACTAAGTGGAATGAAAGTTAAATAAATTAGGTACATGAAAGGTGAAGGCCACAAGCCTAATTAGGATTGAGTGGAACCAGGAAGATCCAAAGTTGGTGATCTGTTCTCAACAATATTTCCAGTAGCTGAAGAGTCTGTTATAATATTTAAAGTAAATATTGTGTTTTAAAAGAGTCTTGACCATAGATTTCTTGAGTTTTCTTCAACATATGATCCAGTTATCTTCTGGATAAAATAGATTGTGCTTTGGAGGTAAGTATTCTGTCCCCCAGGGGTCCCTACTTTTCACCCCAAAATTCTTATTCTTACTGACTAGGAAAGAGCAGAGGTCTGCTCCTCCCAGATGCCTTCTGCAAGGTAAGTGCTCCAGCTTGGTAAAGTGAGGATAATGTTCTGAACCATAGCATTTATTGTAGCTGACATCAGGATGAGTAAGAGCTCTCAAAATTCAATTTTGCTCTTATTCTCAAAGATTGGGGGGGGCGGTAAGTAAGCTCTGGGAAAATCTTGATTTATTTTTTTATTCAATGAAATATCTATCACTTGAACCTTCAATTGTCTTCAGGGTTTAAGATTATAAACTATGGAGTTGAGTATCTTTGTGAATAATACAATAATAAACCAGTTCCTCAGAACATAGAAGTATAGGGATATTTCCTTAACAATTTTACCGTGGTCCTCACCCATAATTGTTCCTCTAATAATCTTATTATTTTATACAAATACTTGACATGATGCTCTCCCTAGGAGAATATGTAGGTTCACTTTTCCACTCTGCACTTTAACTTTTAGTTTTCTGAGTATGCCACTCTCTTTCTTAAGGGCTATTCATTTTCTCTGCTTGGTATACTCCTCACCCTAGTAGTTTACTGGAAAACCTCTACTTCTTTAAGATTAAATTTAATCACCATAAACCTCAGATACCCCCAGGAATTTTAAACAGATATAATTAATAGGCTGAGAGTTCTAATTGGATTCATAGATAGCATGCAAGAACAGATGGGTAATATAAGAAGAGAGATGTAAACTCTAAAAAATAAAAAGAGATGTAGAAATTTAAAAAAACAGTAGTAGAATGAATGAATTTTCATAAATAATGACAACAAACCATGGATCCAGAGAACTTACAGAATCCAAATGCCAAAAATTCTACATGTCATACTCAAACTCAAGAAAATCAAAGACCTAGTAAAATCTTGAAAGAAGCCAGAGGAAAAAATAACACCTATCATATATAGATGAGCAAGATGAGAATTACTTTTGGGTTTTCTTCAGAATCCGTGTAAGCAAGAAAGCGAGTGAAATATTTATAGTGTTAAAGAATAACTCCTTAGTTCAGGCTTCTGTAACAAAACACCATGGAGTGAATTGCTTAAATAGCAGGAACTTATCTCTCACAGTTCCAAGTGGGAGTTCTGAGATCAAGATGCCAAGAGATTCAGAGTCTGGCAAGGGTACAGGCAGTGGCCATCTTGTGCCCATCATGCCTTTTTTTTTATAACAGCACTAATTTATGAGGATTCCATCCTCACGACCTAATTACAATTATCTTCCAGAGGCCCCACCTCCTAACACCATCACATTGGGGGTGAGCTTTTCAACATATATATCATGGGAGACACATAATAACCATCAACCTAGAAATCTCTATCCAGTGAAATTGTCTTTGGAAAGTGTAGAAAGATGCTTTCTTAGGCAGAAATCAAGGGAATTTTTCACCACTAGACTTAAGAGAAAATGTTGAAAGTTCTTCAGAGGAAGGAAAATTGTACAACTCAGAAACTCTGATATACATAAAGGAAGAGCAATAGAGAGAAAATAAAAGTAAACTGTTTTTTTTCTTAATTGAAGATAACAGTGTTTTAAAGATAATGAGAATGGGCTGGGGATGTGGTTCACCGGTAGGACACTTGCCTAGCATGCATTAGCCCCAGATTCAATCACCATGACCAGAAAAAAAAAACATGATAATAGTAACAATAAGTTCAGAAATTATAGCTTGTATATAAATGAAAACAAATACCAGCAATTGAGTAGGAACGAGATTACTCTGCTAAAAAGTACTTGCATTATCCAGGAAGTGATTGGAATAGAATTATTTGAAAGAGGATTTGGTTTTGATGTAAATTTGATGCACTGTACAAAGGTGAAAAAAAGAAGAATACTTGATATAATAAAAGGAAAAAAGTTATGAAAACAAGAAGAGGTACAAAAAGAATGGAAGACAAGAAGCAACAAAAGCAGCAGATAGAAAACAGTAACAAATATGGTAGATACTAATCCAATCACTTTTTAAAGGCAATGGTTTAAATATAGCAATTATAAGATAGGACACTGTCAGAGTGAATAAAAAGAGAAGTATTTTCTTGATATATCACTTTAATAGAAAGACATGGGTTTAAAGGGATGAAGATATGCCCTGTTAACCCTAACTGAAAGAAAGTTGGAGTAGCTATGTTAATTTTTGGCAATGAGTTCTCAAGAAATTTTTTAAAATACTCCAAACCACATGAAAATGGAAACATAACAACAAAATGGAATACAGTGAAAGCAAAGCTTTTACTGGGAAATTTATAGCATATCATAATGCATTTATTAAGAATAGATTGTCTAATGAATCTAGGCTTCTACCTTGGAAAATTATTAAAAAGAAAAATTAACCCAAAGTATGCAGAAAAATAAAAATTAGAGCAGAAATCAATGAAATTGAAAATAGGAAGTTAACTGAGAAAATTAATGAAATGCCAACATTTTCTTTGAAAAGATCAAAAAATATATAAGCCTCTAGGAATATTCTTTAATAAGAAAAAGGAGAAAACCACAAATTACTAAGGTCAGAAATGAAGAGACTGCTAGTCCCCTGGATATTAAAAGGATATAATATCATGAAAAATTCCTTGCCCACAAATTTGATAATCTAGATGAAATGGCTTAGTTCCTCAAAAGATGTAACCTGCCAAAACACACACAAAGAGAAAGACAATCTGAATAGGGCTATTAAAGATATTGAAACAATAAAACCTTCTAAAAGAGATAACACCAGGCCTGCATGAATTCACTAATGAATTCTAACAAGAAAGAAATTATACCTTTCCTCTACAATATCTTTCAGAAGATAGAAACTGAGGGAATACTCCCTAACTCATTCTATGGTATTGTCCTATTACCAAAACCAAAGATATTGCAAAAAATGAAAACTAGAATATCTCTCATAAACATAGATGCAAATTCTCAAAAAATATTAGAAATAGGATTCAATAATGTATAAAAATAATTATACACCATAACTAAGATTTATTTAAGTTATGCAAAGTTAGCTCAACATTTATATCAATATAATATCAATATAATCCATCACATCAACAGAATAAAGAAGAAATATCATATGATCATATCAATAATGCAGAAACAATATTTGGGAAACTCCTATCCCATTCGTAAGAAAACAAACTCTCAGCAAACTAGGAATGGAGAGAAACTTTCTCAAGTTGATAAACAACATCTTTAAAAAAAAAAAAAAAACAGATGCTTTCTTGCTAAGATAAGGGAATGCCCATTTTAAGACTAGAAATCTTAATTCAGCAAGACAAGGAAATAAAAGGTATACAGCTGGAAAGGAAAATTAAAAAAAAAAAACTGTATTTGTTCACAGATGATATGATTGTAGAAAAGCCCAAAGAATCAATAAAAATAAAACATCCTGGAATTAATGTGATAATAGCAAGTGTAAGACACAAAGTTTAGATCTTAAATATGTTTATGTTTAGATCTTAAATATCCTCCAAAAGCCATATGTTAAAAAAGTTTGGTCCCAAGGTGGTGTCAATGGGGTCTGATGGAAAGCTTAGGAAGTGGAGTTGTGCAGGAGGAAGTTAGATCAGTGGGGGGCCTGGTCTTGAAAGGGATAATTGGAACTTCAGCCCATTCCTCTCTTTTGCTTCCTAGCAGCCTTAAGGTAAGAAGTTTTGCTCTACCACGCACTCTCTGCCATAACATCAGCTTTGCCACAGTCCCAAAGGTAAACAGGCTAAAAATCATGGACTAAAGTCTCTGAAATCATGAGCTAACAAATCTTTCCTCCTTATGTGTTGATTTTCTCAGGCATTTCATCACAGCACCAGAAAGCTGATGAATAGTTGAAATACCAAAGTAAATTGCTATGTTACATATGAGCAAAGAACAATTAGAGTTTGAAATTAAAAACACAAGACTACTGATGTTAGCACCAAAAACTAAAATACTGAGGCATAAATCTAACAAAATATGTCAAGATCTATATGAAGAAAACTATAAAACTCTGCTGAAAGACACTAAAGAACCACATAAAATTAGACATATTCCATGTTCATGGATAAGACAGTTCAATATTGTCAAGATGTCAGCTCTTCCCAACTTGATCTATAGATAAATTCCAATCCAAATCCCAGCAAATTACTTTGTAGATATCAAAAAAGTGATTTTAAAGTGTATATGGAAAAGGCAACATGCTCAGAATAGGTAATACAATATTGAAAAAGAAGAACAAAGTTGGAGAACTGACACTACCCAACTTTAAGACTTACTATATAAAGTCACAGTAATATAGTGTGATATTGACAAAAGAACAGAGAAATTGATCAACAAAACAGAAGAGAGCACCCAGAAAAAGAATCACATAAATAAAATCAACAGATCCCTGACAATGCAGCAAAGAGAGGCCCTTCAACAAATGGTGCTGAAACAAGTGGCATCCATATACAAAAGAACAAGAATCCAGATAAAGAACTTGTACACTTCACAGAAATTGCCTCAGAATGGATCATAGACCTAAATGTAAAGTGCAAAACTATAAAATTCCTAGAAGATAAACATAGGAGAAAACCTAGATGACCCTGAGTAGGGGTAGGGGTCATATGGAAAAAATCTCTGGACTTTTCATTTCACGGTGAAACTAAAACTGCTCTAAAAACATGAAGTCTTTAATTTTAAATATATATTTTTTAAATATCAGGAAGATGGGGCTGGAGGTGTAGCTCAGTGGTAGAACACTTGCCTAGCATGTGTGAGGCCCTGGGTTTGTTCCCCAGCACCACATAAAACTAAATAAACAAAATGAAGGTATTGTGTCCATCTACAACTAAAAATATTTGAAGAAAAAAAAATAAAATAATGGGAAGAGATCCAATTCTAGAATGGAAGCTTGAGGAGTTCCTCACCCACTCCCCCATGAAAAATGCAAAACTAGGCTGAGGATACAGCTCAATTGGTGGAGAGCTTGCCTTGCATGCACAAGGCCCTGGGTTCAATCC